AGACTTCTACATAGTCGAAAAACGGAGACCTACCCTGAAAAAAGTCCACGAAAAGTTGAAGAAAACGTTAGATTTTCAGGGATGCATCTCCACATTAAAGAAAATTATTTTGAAACTGGGGTTCCGCTGGAAGAAAACAAAAAATAATCGGACACTGCCGGTGTTACCCCTTTAGAATAGACCCGTGTAATATGTAAATAAACTCTTCATGTATATAACAGTGAAAAGTGTATAATAGTGTATAGTGCATAACAGTCTGCCATTCGACACTTAAAACTTAACATCGGATGTGTAAACATCATCGAGACCAAACCGCCAACACTATGCAACACAATGATGTAAGACGTTATTTCCTTTTGAGAACGCCTGTACTGCATTCCCCGCCACGCTTGTCGGCACGCTGGAGCTCTCCCCGCCACTACCAATACTTCTCCTACCTCGCGTCGGAGAACTGTCACCTCTAAGTATACTTTTCCATAGTGCGGGTCCTATACAATCAATATGATTTCAAATTATCTTTATCGTGTTACTTTCGAATTTTAGGGTAAAGATACCCGCAAGCTTGAACGGACATTTCGGTACGGCAACATATGGTGCTGGATGGCATTTCCAACTTTCGCAGATGTATTTTTGTTTATTGCTAGTGGGGTGGGACTAAGTCCCTTGTACTGAGGCCACTTCTAGCCTATTCTACCAACCTCAGATGATAGGTTAGGGTGATTGTGGAGCAATTGGTGGAATGAAGATTGGCAGGGGAAACCGAAGTACTCGAAGAAAACCTGCCCCAGCGCCACTTTGTTCACCACAAATCCCACCAGACCAGGGATCGAACCCGGGCCGCCGCGGTGGGAAGCCAGCGACTAACCGCTTGAGCTATGGCGCAGCCTTTCGCAGATGTAACTAAAATCGTAATCGAAAGAAAAAGTAGCTAATGAGTCATACTTATCCCTGCTTTATTCAAGTGCAGCTTGAAAACGGCAGAGCCCTTCCACCCCTCGCCCTTCCAAAATAAGTTCATACATTCACTGAGAAAACTACTTTCACATGTCGATAAAATCTGACGTCCGGCATGTAGAACAAAATCTGGTCTTCACTTCGTAACTGGAACTGGTGGAAAAGATTTTAAACATTATTCTGAAAGGCCGCGCCATAGCTCAAGCGGTTAGTCGCTGGCTTCCCACCGCGGCGGCCCGCGTTCGAGCCCGTGTCTGGTCAAGTGGGATTTGTGGTGGACAAAGTGGCGCTGGGGCAGGTTCTCTCCGAGAACTTCGGTTTCCCCTGCCAATCTTCAGTCCACTATATTCTCGATCATCATCATCACCCGGGGTAGGTACAATAGGCCAATCAGTGGGCGACGTGCCGAGTGGACTAAGCTGGACTCAACCCCCCACTATGCGAATTAAAAAAAAAATCTGATATCTGAAATGAAGTTAGTTAACATGAAGCCGTCTAGAAATATTAGTAATATTCAGCAGGAAGTCACAGTCAGCAAGAGGCATTCATGTTATTTCCGAGATACCTTGGTATCACTGTCGTCTAAGAACTCAAATTTATTCCAATGACTCACAAACCAGTCATGTCCCACATGTCTTCAATTTCCACCTGTTCAAGGACATTCCCAGGATGATATCACGCCCGATTACATCCACAGGCACAGCAGATGACTAACGGAACATGTTACATGGCGTCATTTTAGCATCCCATCAAAATACATTAGACAAAATCAAATTCACATTAGACCGGTGTAAACACGCAAAAAAGTCTTGTGTTTCGTTAAGAAATATTACTTCGCTTCGGTGTTGACGTCACACGAGTAACCACAAGGTATAAGAGAATAAAACGGCCAAAGCAGTATAACAACCATTTATTTCTCACACAAATGCATAAGTATATTGCACGAAAGGGTCTTCTGAATTTTTATGGGTAAAGTGGTGACACTGGTGTTTTCCAGAATAAGACAATTTGGTATTTCAGAACTTTCCGATTTACCCAAGATCTTCAGTCCACGTGGAATGACTAATTTCAGTGTTTTCTTTAAATAAAGTTTGAAGAAATATTTGCCTGCTTCCCTTCTCTGAAAGGAAAGAACAGGTCTATGGGATCACCATGCTATCCGCCTGTTTCTGTCTCCCCCTTTTAACTTCTCAGACAGCCAATTTTCACGAAGGTATGAACGTTCTTGTTATTGAATGTCACCCCACATTCGTGCTTCTGTATTTCCAACAATTCATAATACCTACATGGCAGAGGCACAAACTAATCAGGTTGGAATGACACTTAGCAAGAGGTATGAAATAATGTACAGTAATGGATCATTAGAAAAATTTGAAACGTTCGTTACGGTAATGTTTTGCATGATGTAAAACAACAAAATGACGATTGCATGTAACCTATATTTAGCTGTAGCTTTCAATTTCATATCGGTAACTATTCGACCAATGCAGCTAGGCATGTCAAATCAGAGAGGATAAACAAATTTACAAAGTATGTACGAAATGCTCCTTAAGAGTAAAAAAAAAAAAATATGCAGGGCAACTGTGCGAAACGTTGAGGTTACTTCTGACAAAATCAACAAAGACAAATTCTGTAAAAGGTAAGTTCTTCGTAAAAATAAAATAATACAAAATTTGTACTCTGATATGATTCAGTCACATGCCATATGTAATTTTTTTAATTCGCTTAGTGTGGGGTGGAGGCCAACTGGGTCCACTCGGCACGGCAGCCACTGACTGGCCTGTAGCCTGACCAGAACCTGGAACCCGGAAGCTTTACATATATATATGTAAAGCTACCCCTGTAGCAGGCCATGGAGGTCCATAGGGTTGTGAAACATCAAGGTTCCCGCATTCTCTAGACAGTCGGCTCACAGATGGCAGTGAGGATGTCAGCCTTACCCGCCAGCCACTCTTTACGCCCCAATTCCTGGTACTCATTTCTGTTAGAGGCTGAGTTAACCCCAGGACCATAGTGCGGTTGGAAGAGTTAGGTCAATTGAAAAATCTAATAACCTTAACGGGATTTGAACCCATGACCTTCCAGCTTCTAACATAGTGCCTCAACCAACTACGCTACCACATACCCCCTTCCTCACACATATGTACATAAATTACACTCCACTAAATAGAATAATCAGTCGGTCACAGTGGCCGAGCGGTCTAAGGCATGCACTGTCTTCGCTCGCTCGGAAACCGGGATCGTGGGTTCGAATCCCACTCAGGGCATGGATGTTTGTGTGCGTTTTTCTGCGTTTGTCTACAGGTAGAGGCCTTGCGACGAGCTGATCACTCGCCCAAGGAGTCCTACCGAATGTGTAAGATCTAGAAAAACCGAAGTGAACAGAAGTTCATGGAGGTAGGCCTAGGCCCAAATGAGAGCTGTAGCGCCAATGAAAAAAAAAAATAGAATGATCACGAATGGTAAGCTTGGATTTATATTCACAGTGAAAGACAAAAACACAAAATGTCTACACAACTAGCTGTCACAGATACATAATTTGAAACAACTGTAAAACAGTCATCATAGCCAGTTCTTCACCAACATGGGTCATGAAGTTGTATTTTAGCGTCCTGTTGCACTGATTTTCGGAAGACACACACACATCCAACATTATAACACTCGCAGCTAAAAAGGGAACACACATCACAAGACACGGTTTACACAGAATATAAGAAAAAAGACCCCCATAGTGGAAGAACAACACGCGAGTTTCAATTAAGACACGTAAGATGAATAATCTTAACAAGTTTTAGTGTGTGTAAATTTATTATAGCTGACGAATACACAATTTTTAAATACTTTTTAAATGATTTTATGAAGACATATGATGGCAAGCAATGCAACAGATTAGCGTAATTAGGGCACCTGATGATGGCACTATGTTGCCGAAACATGTCGTGAAGTAACAGGCGAAATTGAGTGCACTACAAGACAGCCACTGTATACATATCATGGGTCATGAATATTAAATAAGGGGTTTACTTTTCCAGTCCTATTAATTAAATATGTTTAGAAAGGATGTGGTTACAGTATGTTCTTAGGTTCATTCCCAGAATTTAACACTGGCTGTAGCATGATGATGCAGAGGAAGAGTAGGAAAATGAAGGAATCAAACCAGTTTACCTGCCTATTAATGCTACAGATATCTACTGGGTGATAATATAGATACCATAAAGAAAAACACACAAACTTTAATTGACGCAAGTAAGGTGGTTGGTCTAGAAGTAAACACAGAGAAAACTATGTATATGTTGCTGTGTCGTCACAAAATGCAGGGCAAAATCATGACATAACGATAGAAAACAGATGTTCTCAAAATGTGGCACAGTTCAGATATTTGGGAACGATGATAACAAATCAAAACCCGATTCAGGAGGAAATTAAGAGGAGATTGTTGTTTTCACAGCAACACAGCAAGCCACGAACAAACCCTGGACGACATCAAGAACCTTCTCATCAATATAGATAGGCGGCACAAAATCTGCCCCATACAAGAAGGACGATAGGAGTACGGACATGAACCTACGTGGTTTAAAAAATTTTAACTATTGACAATAAAGGTTTTTTTAAATAACATCTAGAAACTTTTAAAAACTTTACAACCCCAGGAAGCTGCTGTGATTGTGAAACGTTCGACTTTAAGCGTACTGTGCATTACAGGATATAAGTGTATGTATTTTAAATCAAAACACCTATTGTGATGGTAGTTTCCAGTTTGTAATGATGTTCCCTCTGAAGATGGCCCGTAAGGACCAAAACATGTAAGGGAGATAAGTTTTAACATAGTAAAAACTTATATGTCACATTGGACGGAGTGGTTTGTACAGTAATGAACCTTTGGGTTCCATAAAATGCTGGGAAGCTGCACATCTGGCAGCTTCTCAAGAATGGTTCAGCTCCATGAGTGGGTGAATGAGTGAATAAACATTGCATAGGTCATGAACTATATTTTCCCACATCCTGCCATTCAAATATAAGTGTCCAAAAATGTCAGTGTTTCTTACCTTCATGAGACTGATCAAGAGGCTGATAAACATCATATGTCAATGTAGTTCCATCACAGAGTGACAGGTAGCACCGTTCCCCAATTGGCCAAGGGCAACGCACTCGCCCAATAATGCTGTGTATAATGGTCTGTACATGACCACTAAAACCCCACAGTCGTGTGGGGATGTACCTGAAATAAAGTGTAAACAAATTTATATTGATTAGTTGTTATAGTTCTGGAACATACGATGGGGTACCCACAAGAAACTGAAATAATTTTTTTGTGGGCAGAGCTTTTGTAGTACCGCGTTTTGCCGCTATGAGCGCATAGAGCTAACATTCCTGAGTCGATAAGCCGACTACCGTTGCTTCAGAAGGTAAGGACTAGTTTCGGCAGTTTATAGTGACAACTGTTTTGTGTGATTGTCGTTTTTGCAATGGCTGATTTTCGTGAACAGCGTGCGGTGGTGAAATTCTGCTTTTTGCTCGGGAAAAGTAGAACAGAAACTCTTGAAATGTTAAAAACGGCGTACAAGGACAATGCTATGGGGAAAACTCAAGTGTTTGACTGGTTTTCCCGTTTCAAAAATGGTGAAATGTCAATTGATGACGAACCTCGTTCAGGTCGTCCTTCCACGGCCCGAACACATGAAAATGTTAAAAAAATTCGTGAAATCATCAAGAAAGATCGATGACGGACATTGAAGAAATTGTGGAGCTGTCGGGAGTGACTTGGAGCTCAGCAGCCAGATTTGTGGCAGTCGGGTGACTGGTTTTTCCATCATGACAGTGCCCCTGCTCACACAGCCCTGTCTGTACAACAATTCTTGACCAAAAATGGTATGACCCCTGTTCCTCACCCTCCATACTCACCCGACCTTGCCCCGTGCGACTTTTTTTTCTTTCCTCGAATGAAGAGAGACATGAAAGGAAAAAACGACAGAGGCGCTGTCAAGCATCTCAAAGATGAATTTAGACAGTGTTTTGAAAAATGGAATAAAAGACTAGACAAGTGTATTAGTGTAAGTGGAGAGTACTCTGAATGGGATTGAAGGTTTGTGCTTAAAATTTGAATAAATAAGTTTAAAAAAAATAAGTTTGGTTTCTTTTGGGTACCCCCTTGTATTACCATTTAACAGCTTTATTCCTTTGACAGTAATAGAACAACATTTTTAGTAACTTCAGTTTTAAAGATCTCAAAAGCAACACGAAGCCTTGTTTTTCTCTTTCATCTAGCACATTAAACGGAAAAGTAATGTTCAAGTAATGATTCAAGAATACTAAACAACATTAAAAACCAGTTTTCATGACAAAGAATATACCCTGTTTTGTGAGACTGGATATTTTCATGGCAGTGAAGAGCCATATTATGATCTTACTGTGACTGGATTTCTGAGCAGGTTGGCTGACTTCTATCTGGCAGGTAATGAGTTCAAATGCACCTAGGACAAAAGTAACCTAACAGAGCCTTTGTTGTGGTTTTTCTCAGCCCATATAGGGAAATGATTGGACAGTGCCTCAAATTATGCCTTGATGCTTAAATTCACATTCTTTCAAATTCATTATACCACCCTATTATCTGAGAGCATTAGTCATGGAATACTAAGAGTCTCAAAGTCAATAGAAAGTCCGTCGAGTGTAACAATGTTTTTAGGTCACTTCTTTATCACATTTGCCTTACATGTTTCGGTTTAATAAAACCATCATCAGAGGCACATATTACAAACACATGAAAACACTGGCGTTGTTTAATGTACACAGTATATATGCTGCGTGGAGGCTGCTACAAATGTCGATGTGTAAAAGCACAACACTTTCTAGGAATATTGAATGCATGTTCAACTCTCGCATTCCATCCGAAATTGCCCTCAAATTAAACCGTCAATGTTAAAATATTTAAAAGTTTAAAACATTTGAAGTAAAATGTTAGGCTCCTCCTTGTTAATTCATCCCGATGATGGGAGATGTCAGCTTGAGGTTGTATAGGCTTATGGTCAGATGTTTCCTATGCGTTGTGTGTTGTGTACTCATATGCGTTGTGTGTTGTGTTGAGTACACAACACACAACGCATAGGAAACATCTGACCATAAGCCTATACAACCTCAAGCTGACATCTCCCATCATCGGGATGAATTAACAAGGAGGAGCCTAACATTTTACTTCAAATGTTTTAAACTTTTAAATATTTTAACATTGACGGTTTAATTTGAGGGCAATTTCGGATGGAATGCGAGAGTTGAACATGCATTCAATATTCCTAGAAAGTGTTGTGCTTTTACACATCGACATTTGTAGCAGCCTCCACGCAGCATATATACTGTGTACATTAAACAACGCCAGTGTTTTCATGTGTTTGTAATATGTGCCTCTGATGATGGTTTTATTAAACCGAAACATGTAAGGCAAATGTGATAAAGAAGTGACCTAAAAACATTGTTACACTCGACGGACTTTCTATTGACTTTGTGATTGATAGTGTAACGGACCAAAAATGAAACAATTCAAAACTAAGAGTCTTATTGAATAAAGTAAACTTATAAAAAGATGACACTGTGTTCTAGTCTGGTGGCTAGTTACAGACACCTGGGAGGAATATTCATTCATTCATTTTCTTTCCATTGATCCTTACATGGCTGGAAGACCAGTGACTATAGAAATAGTCAAAGACAAAAAGACAAGTCCCATTAGTTGTACAGATAAAAATTAATTATACTTAATCCATAACAATTACACATATTATCCTAGACAAATCACAATGAGTACATCATGAAACAGTTGTAAAATATGTATGTTACAGAATGCAACATACTAATATGAAACAAGACTACAATGATCAGACATAAAAATATACTACTAGGCGTCCAGTTTATAACAGACCAAGATCGTTAACTAATATTGAAGTTAAAATATTCTTCTAATGAGCAAAATGAATTTAAATGTAGAAATCTTTTTAAAGCAGATCTAAATTGTTTTGTGTCATGAGCTAAGTTCTTTATGCTAGAAGGAAGATTACTGAGTGTTTCTCTGAAACACTGTTGCCCACCTACCACATTACAACATGATGTCATAACCCAGACGACCCCACTGTCAATACTCATTCTGAATCATGAAGGACACTCCTGTTAACACTTATCTATTCTTTGGGCATTTCTGATATCTGACACATTATTAAATTTTTATATGGTTGGGTTTGTTACAGTGATAGCTTCATCATTTTTATATGATATAATTAGCATCACATTTAATTTTCAAAATATTTCTATACACAGTACTCACTGGATAAGTGGGGCGAGGCCTTTACCATTACACAAATTAGCAAATAATATGAATTAAATAATATTAGGTCATCAATTACATACACTCGACGTCAGAAACGTGGTTCAGTGTAAATGTATAAAGAAAATAATATCAAACTGCTTAAGCACTTATTTTACAAATAACATCTATTTGTTGACAACATATTTAATTGGTTACATACGGTTCTTGAAGGAGAGGAGCTATCTTTAAAATGGTGTCCAAAAAGCTGAGATCCTTGCAGTATAGTGCCGGTTTTTGGGGTTGGCTATTAACGTTTAGTATCCTAAATAATATACACAGAATTACTGCCACGGCGGCCAACAGTGCCGTCGACATTACGGCAACTGCCTTGTCGAGACTCAATGTCACGAACGTCACGAACACTGTCAACGACTTTCCAGGCACCGCCTACTTTTATCTCGCTCTGTGATCTCGCCTCTCCCTTCTCCGTGCTTCTGTGACTTTTGACAACAACGTCGTCAAAACATGGTTTGTTTCAATGGGCATGGGCATGCGCTTAGTGTGTTCAGAAAGTTTTATAAGGTAACATTTGCTTTCAACCAATTATATTTCCTTCTTCGCGAATTGGCTTCAGAATCTCTTTCTTGTGGTTCCGTGTAGTGTGACTTTTGACAATAGTGACGACGTCGTCAAAAATAGCTTGTTTCCATGTGTATGGAAATGCCCTTGGAATGTTCAGAAAGTTTGCAAAGGTAACATGCGGTCTCAATCAAATAATTTTTTCTCTCTCCCAGTCTTCACGAACTTCACGAATTTCTTAAACTGGCTTAAAACCTCTTTCTAGTTGCTCCGTGTGGTTCTTTTACGTGGAATTGGATACCTCTCGTTACCACCTTATATTTGATTAAATCCATACGAGACAATACAATGCAGACTCAAGAAGTTTACCAGCACTAGGAGGCGTTCATTTGACTAAATTTGAACCTATACTGCAATCTGGTATTATCTGGGGGGGAGTAAATAGCAGTAATACAGTCTTTAAATTAAAAAAAAAGTCTAAGGATCATTAAAGGAGTGTAGAAGTCCGTTTCGTGAATTTAAGATTTTATCAGTAACTTATTATATATATATATATGTGTGTGTGTGTGTGTGTGTGAGAGAGAGAGAGAGAGAGCGAGAGAGATCTTATGCCTTTTAAAAAAGATCTACACAACTCATTATTCCAGCATTCACAAGTAAACACTAGAGGTAAACAGGATTCCTATGTACAAAAATGCAACACTGTTCATTGCAAAATAAGTGTAATTAACATGGGAATTAAATTACATAACAGCTTGCCCACTGAATTAAAAAGAATATAAAATTTTAAATTAAGAAGTTATTTATTAAGTAAGTAAAAGAAAGTAAATGCGTCCTTGTAACCGGCCGTGGAGGCCCATAGGTTTGAGATAAATTGTGGTTCCCACATTTTCTAAACAATCGGTTCACAGGTGGCGGTAACGTTGTCAACCTTATGCGCTGGCCGCCCTTTACCACCAAGAATATTCCTGGTACTAATTTATGTTAGAGGCTTGAGTCGACCCCAGGGCTATAGTGCGGCTGGAAAAATCCACCTCATCGGGGTTCGATCCCGCGACCTTCCGGCTTGTAGCATAGTGCCTTAACTGACTACCCTACCGCATGCCCCAGTTGTTTATTACAAAACTGTTTTTATTCCCTGTAGGAGTTTCTTTAGTAACAATGATGGACAGTAGTTTTGTGGCTTGGGTTGGTTCTGATGTGGTGTGGAAGTACATAAGTGTGTGTGTTGCTTTATATTGGATTGTTGGTGATGTCATCCTAGCTTCAGTGGTAGCGGGGACATGATCCTAAGATGATTGTACTGTTCTAGTCTTGTGTATCATTTTGTATTTTCAAGAGTTGTTGAGTTGTAAAGTTTTAGATGGCTTAAACTGACCTGACCTATTGTACTTGTGTAACAGTTTATCGATGTAAATAAATTATTAATTATCTACATTTCCATACCAACTCCCTGCTCCCGACTTACAATATCTGTTAAGAAGAAATTTATCATAATTGCGCTATGTATTTAATGGTTATATGTATCTTAAACTGCGGGTACAGTAGGTCGTCATTATGAGAATAATGTTTATTCTTCCCCCAGAACAGGCGAATGAATCAAGAGATACTAGGCTCTAGATATAATTTCTTTTGAAGGAATGGCCAATTTTCAGTCATGGGCGTGGGCCTTTCCTTGCTCTGCATAATTCGACAATAGCCAGTTGAGTTACTGTACAACATTCTACTACGTTTGCTCGTTTTAGGTAAGTGCTTACTTTTTCTTTTTGCAAAGCAGAAACTGTATCTAGATTGCTGTGGATCAGGCATGTCAAACTCAACTTGTACAGAGGGCCACCTGAGCCCTATAAATAATAGTCCAGGGCCACACTTCAAAATAGAAATATACATTAGATTTTGATACAAGGAAATTTAATTCTATTTATTATTTAAGAATAATTTCAATATAATTACCTAAAGTGGAACTCTTTATATTTTTCCCACAAATCAAACAGCCCATTAGGCAATGACTGAGGGTTGCAAGCTACTTTTGAAGGTAGAAATCCCTTGCACTTGTCTGTCAGTTGCCACCCTCCTTGCATTCTTACTACGACTCCAAAAGGGATTCTTTGAAATACTTGGGGTGCTGAGACTGTGTGGATTTTAGTGCATTACCCTTCTGAAATACAATACTTTGTCCTTCACAAACTTTACAAACCGTTAGTTGGACAAACCCTTCTGCAATTCTCAGAATCACTTTTCCTGCAGCCTGCTAATTTATGTCTGCATGAGACTTCTCGTCTTGTGGTCTGTTGGAAAATTGTCTTTACAAAAAATATTTCTACTAAAATTTTAATATTGATTTTAATATCAATTAGCACTAAAAGTTGAAGGGCCGCACTTTGTGGCTATAGGAGCCGCATGTTTGACACGACTGCTGTAGATGTCTGTTTTGGGATTGGCCCAAAGTGATTTAATACTTACAAAAAGAGTTTCTCGTCTGTAAAGAACCTCAACATACATATTCCAAATCCAAACCACACAAAGACATTCAGTTAATCTGCAAAGCGATTAAATAAAATGTAGGCTAATTTCCATTATTTGGAGTACCGCAGGAAACACGGTGACAGTCTCTCCTTGGCTCATTTATGACAAACCTCATTTTATTTATACAGCATCAGCATCAACTATAGAGCATTTCTAAAGCAACAGCAGCAGAAGAGAATTTTGATTGAGCATTGTCTGGAAGCATATTGACTTGATGCGTCAACATAACTTAACAGTTTGACAAAGGCATGCCTAATTGTGGAGCTGTGTAATACAGCAAGCTAATAAAAGTTAACCTGAAGAGTACAGTCTTCTGGTGGAGCTGCTTGCTTAGGTTACTGTTCAACCATGAAGACAGTGGTGATGTTAACTCTGAAATGTGGGGCTTCCTCTCAACTACGCAGCATTAAAATCCAGAAGACCACACTATACACAGTCACCTAGAGAATCCCAGATATAGAATAAACTGACCTAACCTCTACTTAAATGTGCAGATGGATGCAACTGCATTGATTCTAAGTAACTCCTTGCTGCCAAGTCCTTCTTGAGAAGCCATCGGTCACTCAGCTACTCAATAATTCCCCAATATTTGATGGAACCTAAATATTTGTACTATGTTTGCAAGAGACCACCACTGGTCCCTATCCTGAACCAGATGAATCAGAAGAATATGAACATATCCTACATCCCTACACTGCAAAAGAGTAAAAGTAATGCTATCCATAACAAAAACAGCCACAAGAAATAAGAAAATCCAACATGCACTACATGTAAAAAAAAATCACATACATAAATAGACTCAAAACCACTGCACATATCTGCCAAGACGGTAAATTGCCAATAAAAAAATCCAAATATCTGGTCCTTTATAGGCTGTACCATCCTACTTTACTAAACCTAATTTGTTTCATGTGTACCCCAAACTCTATGAGAAATACTTTCCTTTTAACTGAGTCATGGGCTTTCTTGAAATCTGTCTTGCAATGAGCATCGGATACAATGACACCTTTAATGAAAACTGCACAAATACAGAAAGAAGCCCTCTTTTTAGTGTGATGTTTAAAAAACTGAACTGACACATCACTTTAAAGCATATCATATCTGCTACTGCAGCACATTTTTGCATGCTTGGTTTTTGTCTTAATTTCTTTACTTGTATAATTGTGGCTTCATGCTTGGCTCATTCTTTGACCCTGAAGATGGAGGCCACATGTTCCTTTGAAATGCTGGTCAGCTTTTAGTGGACTACACAGTATTAGATCCCAGATGATAGAATTCCTTATATATATATATACACACACAATCAATTTCAATGGGTACAGTCACCATCAAGATAATTGCCCTTTGACTCAATACATTCCAAAAGTTTCACATATTAATGGAAGTCTTTTTCTGGAAGTCCTTTCAGTATTTTGTCACTGTGCTATCAGTATCTTTAAAGATTCAAAATTAAATCAAATTCAGTAAGTACATTTTAATTTTGTTAACTTACTTAGACACAATTTTATAAGGTCCTTTCCAATTATACTGTTGGCAGAAGTTAAAAATGAAATTTAGATGTAGTCATGTTGAGAACTATGCTAAATAGTCTCTTATAAAATCCTATTTGTTAAATATGTGTGGTGGCCAAAGAAACCACCAAGTGATAGAGAATATATTAAGAAATGTGCTGTGTTCATGAATTGTGAAACATTGAAAATAAATAGTTACAAGAATTTCAGACACTGATTTTCATATTTGTTTGAAGAATTATGTTCAAATACTTTGAAACAATTTTGCCTCTTCATAAAAAAAAATTAAACCTATCCCTTCAACAGGCTGTGAAGGCCCAAGGGTTGTGAGACATCAAGGCTCCCTCATCTTCTAGACAGTCTGCCCACAGATGGCGGTCAGGTTGTCAGCTCTACGCTCCAGCTGCCCTTTAACCCCAGGAAGATTCCCAGTACTCATTTCTGTTAGAGGCTGTCGACCCCAGGGCCATAGTGGGGCTGGAATGGTTACGTAAAGTGAAAAATCCAATGACCACATCAGGAATCAAACCCACGACCTTCCAGCTTCTAGCATAGTGCCTCAACCAACTATGCTATTGTGTGCCCCATACCACAGAGAATATAAGATTAAAATTAAATAGTCATGAAGTGTTAAATATTACCTGTGCAACATAAAAGCACAAAAAAAACAGCAGTGACAGTACACACAGGGAATGAAGAAAAAGTATAAAAAATGGCGCTGGAATACAACATATAGGGTCACCAAGATTCTGGGAGCCCTAAAAGAAAGGTAAAATCATCCGTGCTTAATTAAGCAAGATACCATGAAGACATGTGAGGGATTGGAGGTATAGCTCCAAAATTCTTGAACCCACATGAAAATATTAAAGAAAAGAAAAATACCACAGTTTTGGGAGGAAAGAAAGGTCACGGGGATCTTCAGCACAGCTATAAAGCTAAGCTTTGTTATTCAAGTGTTCTCATGCATCATTTGAATACAAAAAGGGCCTAATGATTTGGTTAGCTTTTCATGCTGTTGTACAACTGCTAGTAATATCAGAAATTACAGGAATTTGAGTTGAAGTTTAACCCCTCAAGCGTGTGCAACGCACCATATACGTCCACTCAGTTACATGCATCTAGCATGCATTTATGCGGGGGTATTTAAATCCCTCCCGGTGCTTTATTTTCGCAAGCATTGAAGGTTTTGTGCAGACATTTACCTAAATATTTTTAAATAACGAAATCGCTATTTGAAAAATTCCAAAAAATTATATTATATTTACAATTGTTTACAGTTCATTTTTATAAATGTCTATATACATTTTGTCAAGCTATTTCTTTTTCCCAGCTCTCCATATCCAGTGTGTAGTGGTTGACCTTGGTGTGGTATTGCTCAAAACAAGGGTCTAGGCAGAGAGACGGTGTCCCTGGGCAGTTTTTACACCTGTATCTGGTTTCTTTTCTCTTTCCGATTTGTGTACACACCACACACCTTCTTCTTCCAACTTTATAAATTTCGGTTTTGGGATTTTCGTGAATGAAATGCTGACCCGTCAATCTCGTACATTCCATGTCGGTGGTATCTGAAGGGCTCCCTTTGCGCGTTTCTAAATTCTGTCCATGGGACTTTGCTATGATCTTATTCACTAAGTTTATTCTGAATAACAGATGATCTTCCTTGTTACCATCCTTGCAGTACAGAATGTAATCATTCAACACTGCCATATCTACTAAGCGGCTGAATAATTTCTTGTACCACGCTTTTTGCCTTTTCCTTCCTAGCAAGAATGTTCNTTATAAATTTCGGTTTTGGGATTTTCGTGAATGAAATGCTGACCCGTCAATCTCGTACATTCCATGTCAGTGGTATCTGAAGGGCTCCCTTTGCGCGTTTCTAAATTCTGTCCATGGGACTTTGCTATGATCTTATTCACTAAGTTTATTCTGAATAACAGATGATCTTCCTTGTTACCATCCTTGCAGTACAGAATGTAATCATTCAACACTGCCATATCTACTAAGCGGCTGAATAATTTCTTGTACCACGCTTTTTGCCTTTTCCTTCCTAGCAAGAATGTTCCTAGTAGCTGATCTTTCAAGTTCTTCAGTTCCTCCCATATATTTATTATACTCTATTACAAACATAGGTTTATTTACAAATTCTAACCCACCCTTTCGACTTACGGGTTGCATTTCTTCTGAATGTTTAATAGTCAGCACTGAGACATCGCGCTTATCCTTCCACTTCAACACCACCAATTTCCCACACTTTGCACTAACTACTCCTTTCTTCAGTTCCTTTTTTAGATCCATTGGCATAACTTTGCGCGTGATACTCACTGTTCCAACAGCATCTGTTGTCCTCTGAACTAATCTCTGGAAAAGATCGGGACTGCTATAAAAATTGTCCATATAAAACACATCTGCCCGAGTCTAATAGTTCCTCGCACAAACTTAGAACAACTTTTGTTGAGAAAAGATCTGTGTCTTTGGTGATTTCACAGCCTAATTTTATCCCTGATCCACTGTAAATTATAAAATTCCACAAATATCCTGCGGAATCACAAAGTTCAAAAATTTTAATCCCAAACCGGGAAGCTTTCATAGGAATATACTGTTTCCACGAAAGTCTATCTTTCCACAATAACAAAGATTCATCGACACTTACTTCTTTGCCCCGTATGTACACTTTCTGGAACTTATTTTTCAAATATTCACTTACCAGAAGAATTTTGTACAATTTATGATCTCTTTTTGCAATTTCCTTGTTGGTGTTATCTACAAAATGGAGAAATCTGGTCAGCAATGAAAACCCTTCTTCACTCACTACATTGGGAAAAAATGGTGTTTCAAACATATGTTTCCTACTAAAATACATCCTGAGGTTTGGTTTCTGAATTATTCCCATCAGCATAAGGAAACCTAGGAATATCCTAATTTCATTCGAAGTAATGGGAACCCACTTTTGAAAGCGCTATTTTATTAGCGTCAGGGGCAAGAAACTGTCCCGCCAGACAAGTTATGTGACCAAATGCCATGGGGCTCCGATAAGAGGGTGTTGCAAAGCAGAAAAGGAATAACAGATTCATAAATGTTGACACAGGCGTCAGGCAACTTCAACCCCTAGGTTCGTAACATCGTATATCAGACACAGCTTCTTTGTCGCCAGTAAGCCAAGCCAGTAAAAAAAAAATACACACACAGATAACAAGCACTCAATGAAAGTTAGCTAACAAATTATCTCTCTGTAAGCAAGTCGGAGTGTGAGTTGGAACAATTCTTTCGTAAGCAGCAGACACCAGATGCTTTGTCCCAAGCAAAGCGAGTAAAAAAATGGAATGAAAGAAGTCAGTGTTAGCTGACATATACATTCACTGGAAGTACACATATCAGAGCATAGGCGTTAAGAATTCTTAGTGAAAAGTTTGGACGCAACATATGCGGCGCGCATGCTTACAGCACGGCTTTGAGTGGACGCAGACGGTGCGTCACACACGCTTAGGGATTTAAATGGCTCCGCTAAAAGTTACGCTCAAGGGGTTAAAGGCACTGTGGTCAGCAAACAGAGGGTCATGTATGAACCTGCAGCACTGATCCCAATATATCTCTGGTTCCCTGACCATTTAAACCTTGGTACTTTAAAGAATAAGGTGTTATACTGAAACAAATGGGTGATCAGTATACAAAACCAAAAGAATTAACTTAAACCTGGCAGCTACTTCTGTGAATCATACTGTTCTGCAAATTGCAGTCTATTTAGTAACTCTTAAATGAAATTAGACACCACTGGCCTGAACATACCTGGCCATTACCTTAGGAAATCTGCATTTGGTATGTGACATAATAGTATACTGGTATAAATTCAAATTATTTATTGTGTCAAGATTATATATTCTTCATAGTTTAACACTGGTACAAAACTACTACAAGCATGGCCATGATGGGATGTGAACTTAGTAAAAAGACAACTATAAGAAGATACAACATAACATAAAAAATAACAAAAACTTAACAACTGATCTTTTAGTTTATAAAAAGGCAAAGTACAGATTACATACACGGTATAAATAATATTTATTCAAGCTGTTTGAACACAGCCAAGTTTGGAGAGGAAATAAAAAGTGGTAACTTAGCTATGTAAAAGTGCATGTGTGAATTAAATAATGTCAATTAAATGCAGCAACAACAGTTGCAATGTAAGAATGTGCAAGAAATAAACCTATTTCTGCCTCATCTGAAATACAGTTCCAAGGACAGCATGACATATTTCCAAGGTAACCCCCATTTTGAGAAAACAAAATACTGCTCACATAGGTTGGTTCTCACATGAAGCATATCAGAAAAAATAAAATTCAAACCAAGAAAAAGTTATATTTGAGTACACTACTAGAGTTAACTTCCTCAGATACACTGATTTATGACAGGTAATTATATAGTTGTTATTATTAAAAAACCAGGGGCATGCGGTAGTGTAGTTGGTTGAGGCACTATGCTACAGGCCGGAAGGTCACGGGATCAAGTCCCGATGAGGTCACTGGATTTTTTTTCAATTGACCTAATCCTTCTGGCTGCACTATGGCCCTGCGGTCAACTCAACCTCCAACAGAAATGAGTACCAGGAATTAATTAAATAACTTTCCTGGGGAGTAAAGCGCAGCTGGCGCGTAAGGCTGACCTTACCGGCATCTTTGAGCCGATTGTCTAGATAATGTGGGACCCTCGTCTCACAACTCTATGGGCCTTCACGGCCTGTCATAGGGATAGTTTTACATTTTTTACTTCACTTATTGTTCAAAAACCATATGCCTCAGGTACCCCAGAATCTGATAGTAGCCACAATTAGAATTTCTCCAGCACCCTTGTGAACACAGATAAATCTTAAGATTTCATATTAATTACAGATGCAAGAAATTAAATCACTGTTGTTCACATTATAATCATTACTTCTGAATATCTAATGTAATAAATGCTGTTATTAGTAAACATTAAATAACCCACATAACACAACTATGAGACATGAACAACCAGTATATAGTCATGATTCTTACAGTATCTCTACCAATAATCCATAGTGCCAAAGAATGTGATACTCCCTGTGCTTTTTATGGCAAGAAATGGCAGTGGTACTTGCAAAGCAGGACTTCAAGTGCATTTTTATCTCACTTTCCTGCTATGTTTATGTCCTACACTAAGAATATTTGATATATTGCTTTACATAAAAAACAGGCACAAGTATTGTGTACCATTGTACTGTCAGTAAAAATGCACTGGATATACAGGTATGTGATATATGGTATGTTTAAAAAAGTTTAACCGATTCCACTATCCCGCTTCAAAGGTTTTCCAACATGACAATTCATATTGCATGCCCGGTTTTATACACCACAAAGATAGCCTGCGCTTTGCATGTTTCACTGCTGGAGGTACTACCTAAAACATCTCTGATGTTATTGTAATACTTAGGTAAGTGTATGACAGGAAAGCCCTCTGTGTGCAACAGGATCTGTGGTATGTCTACATAAACCTAAATAGAATCTAGTAGTTTCCTATTGATTTAATGATCACTAACCCATGATGATGATGATGATGATGATAATCATCATGCACCCTCAAAGATGTTTTATACAATATACGTAGGTCAGTCAACGAGCAATAAGATGGCGCGCACACTGTTGTGGTGGGAAGCTCAGCATATCTTCTTGCAGGCACAACAGGCCCGGGCAGGTTTCAGTGTGTAGTGTCGTTACTGTTCTGTTGGAATTAGATGTGAGTGTTGATCATTCGGCGCAATGTCGCAGTTCGAATAGTGTGCAAACATCAAGTTCATTTGCAAATTGGGAAAATCTACTTCAGAGATGCTACTGGCCCTGCAGCAAGTTTATGGTGATACTGCACTAAAGAAATCCGCAGTTTATGACTGGTTTTCTCAGTTTAAGAATGGGCAGGAGACGTTAGAGGATGACCGGCGCAGCAGGAGACCTTCGACATCTAGAACCGAAGAAATGATTGGAAAAGTGCGACAACTGATTCGATGTCATCAAAGAATGACCATCACGTAGTTGGAGCAAGAAGCTGGTACTGTTACTGGCCATTTCTATGTGCAAGTTTTGCAGAGGTTGTGTGATGCAGTTTGGAGGAAGCAGCGCGACAAGTGGCAGGGACAGTGGTTTCTACATCACGATAACACACCGAGCCACACATCGCTTGTTGTGCAGCAATTCCTCGCCGAGAAAAACATTCCTGTCATCACTCAACCACTGTACTCTCCGGATCTCGCTCTGAGTGACTTTTGGCTGTTCCCTACTCTGAAAATGGGCTTCAAGGGGACAGGTTTCCCAACCATGGAGGGCATCAAATCGAATGCGACAGCTGAGCTCCAGAAGATTCCAAAAGAAGCCTTCCACCGCTGCCTCCAACAATGGCAGGATCAATGGAGCAAGTGCGTATGCGAGCAACAGTCCTACTTTGAAGGTGATTAGGTAAGCGTTGCCATATGTCCTACTATTAGAGTGCTATACCACCATTCCAGGAACATTTTGACTGACCCTCGTATACATATCACTTCATTCCTGTTTTCTAGTACACTGTAGAACCATGATGATATGGAGATGCAGATGTCAAATAAGAAAGGGACAAGATGGTTTAAATGCCCAATCTTTTGAGTAAAATGAAGACTTTTGGAAGGAAAAAAGTTACTTGTATGTTCACAACTGAGTAGGATTAACAATGGCTCCTGGAAATGTTCATTTATATCAGGACCTTGCACTCAAAATATAATTCCCACAGTGTTTAACAAAATGTAATACTTTTACAGGAAAAACATTTGGAGTTCACTTTTACAGCATGATTTTGTGTTAGTGTTTCCTATTAAGAAATGTGATATACATGTTGAATGAGACATTTTTTAATTGGAAAGAAAGCAATAAATTCTAACCTACAATTACAGTTTGGAACATACATATGTGAAGATTCATTAACAATTTTGTGACATGTCCACTCAAAGCCAGAATTGTGGAGCCAAAGATATCTATTGCTAGGCAATGGCTTTGTCAACAGGTTTCCATTGGCAACCAATCACATGACTGCAGCAATTGATACATGAGCAATAACAGAGGAGCTGCTGGAGGCATTGTTCTGAGTCAGGAGTGCTAGACTGTGATAGTGAGCAGGGCCAGATGAAGGAGTCAGTGGCCATGAAGTGCAGCCATGAGACAGTCAACAGTTGGTAAGGATGTGAACATGGAAGCTGAGGGATCTACAGCGTTTTGAGCCATTTCCAAGCAATGACTGATGAAGATGCAGCAGACTGAGAAGACTTAGTGCACTGTAGAGCACATGACTTTGTGATTGCACTAAGTTAATTGTAGTTACGATTTGTACGAGTCCAATAAATCCAGTTATCAATCCAAACCCTGTGTCTAGTCACTAACATGTGACAGTATTTTATGTAGCTTACACAGTTATATTATGATGATGTATAAATTGCTGAGGTGACACATGACTGGATGATTGCGAATGGTTAAATCAAGAGGGATCTGAAGGTGCTCTAGCCTATTTTAAGGTATATCCTGGCACTATGCGTCTGCTGACCGTTCATGAAACATACTGTGTTAAAAATACAAATATGGCTGAAAGTACAGTCATGTTTGTAATTTTAATACATTATATGGGTTGCCTGAATTAATATGCTGAAATATTTTCCCAGTTATGGGTCTGAAATTCATCTTTGGTTTTGTTTTAGAGGAAGAGACAGCTGTTTGGTGCCAAAATCTGTGCATTTATAAGTCTGTCCATGCATATGTATTGGAAACTAACAATACACAATGTATTTACATTGCAGCATATATCTGGAATTATGCAAATATGGCGAAGTTTACAACCACTGTAGGCATACCAATGTTATAAGAATGATGTGAAAACCAAGTCCACCGCAATCAGTGTATTTTTAATAACCAAGTTCTCTGGCAACTTTGCTATACCAGCATTTGCAAAACTATAATGCTGCAACTGGAATATAAATTTAAACCATAATAAATAAAATAATAATCTTCATTTCTTATATATGTAACCTTAATACACTGATGGTAGAACATTTTAAAACATCATTTGTTCCAGTGCTGATGAAGAATATAATTTGAAAAGCAACTTAAACAACTGCAATCCTTGTCTACATTCTCTTTGTCCATCTGAATAAATGGTAGAACACAGAATGACTACCTTTCAATATGAATCCCAATAATGTAAAATGAAGGATGTTAAAATGACTGAGAAGGGAAATATGCCTTACTGCACTGTACTCACCTTAAGTCAAACATACAGTAACTTGAGATTGTATCAGATTCTGAAGCTACTCGTTAGAACATAACATAATTCAGTCCTGACTAATGTCAGAGATTACAATCGATGGCCTTTGCTAATTTCTTGTTGAATACATTCACAAGCTTGTCTTCAACAAGAATATTTAGTACTGCATCTGTGTACATAATACACAAAATGTGTGACATATACAAGAACTGCATGTATTGAATAACTCATTTTCAATAAATAATCTCTGTTCTATATAATAACGTGCTTAATATATATAAATCAGTCCTGTAAAGTAGAAAGGGCACATTGAGGGAATGGACTAGCACACACAACACTTCAGTTCTATAATGTACAGCTGTCAGACCAGGATGGCAAGTGACATTTAATGCTTTTGTCATTTGATGTGAAAATCTTTCTTAAATGTAAAATATATGAAATGAAAAATAAATAATTTTTTCATATGCAGTCAAATTAAATTACAGGCATGCTGTAACTACACTGTTATTAGAGTGCATAAATGATATGAACTCCATCCCAAGTGCAAACAATATATTATATGTCCTTGATCTTGCTCTCCTTTACACTACATGTTTCGGCCTCAAACGGCCATAATCAGGTGTATACACTCACGTTGCTGTTACACTGCACTTACTAGTTTAAAATTTAACATTTAAAACACATTGTTCCTTTCGGTGTTATTATCAACATCTACTTCATTGATTGTCTGGTTTATAGATTAATTTTGTTACACACGTTAGTACTTATAAAATCTTTAGTTCTAATTTTAAAATCCTTTAACATTTTTCTCTAAATTTTAAAATTTAAAATTGTCAGGGTTACTCGCCCTATGTCTGTAGTGCTGCAGCGGCTAGTTCTTGTTTCCAGCACTGTACAGGTGTTATCTGTAATATACAAATATTCGTATTATTATCTTATGTACGTATTGTTTCCTTATGTATTTATATTGTTATTTGTACTTACTTTGTGTAGTCTCCCTGTGTGCGTGCCGCTGCTATTCTTTACTACGTGTGCTGTCTGATGTATTGTGTGCTGTGTTATATTGGTGAGTGTAGGGGGGGAATGGGTAGTGGTGAGAGGGAGGTACTGTTAGTCTGTATGGATTTCGTGTATCGTTTGAAATATGGGATTGTATGTCTCTATGTGTGTATCATTCATGTGTAGGCCTTTCTTACTTATTTTATATATATGGTATTTCTCTAGTGTATTCAAATGTTTGCCCTTCTTTCCCATTATTACAACTTCCAATACCTCTGTTATTGTTCCGTATGCATGTCCTGTATTTAGTATGTTATTTGAGTACCCAGAATTGCTATCATTATTTCTAATATCATGTATATGTTCTTTATATCTAGTGTTAAATGTTCTGCCCGTCTGCCCAATGTATTTCAATGGGCAATCCACACATTTCATTTGGTATATGCCACTCTTATTGTATTCATCTAATTGTGGTTTTTGTCTGAGTATATTTTCTATTGTGTTTCGTGTGCGGAATGCCACTTTTATCTGTGTGTCTTTGAAAAGTTTTGTAATTTTTCTCACTTCTTTTGTACTATATGTAAATGTGGCCCACCTTGTTTTATGTTGTTGTTCGTCATCATGTGTGTTTGATTTTGGTTTTCGTTTTGTCTGATTTAATCTTTTGATTATGTTTGTGTTGTATCCATTGTTATGTAGTATGTTTTCAAGAGTGTTTTTCTCTATTTGTTTTCCTTTTTCTGTTATTGGGTATGTGTAGAGTCTATTTATTAGGTAATTAATACCTGACAATTTGTGCTCGAATGGATGGCACGAACTGTTAGGTATTGTGATGTCTATTTGTGTGGGTTTCCTATATATTGTGAATTGCAAACTATCCTCATTGCGATATATTGTTATATCTAGAAAGTTAATTGATTCTTGTTGTTCTCTTACAATGGTGAACTTTACAGTTGGTTGCAATTCATTAATTTCTTTGAGTGTATGTTCTATGTTTGTTATTTTTTCATCATATGTTATTAATATGTCGTTGACATATCTGAAGTAGGTCACTATTTGTTGTGTTACTAGAATGGGATATATTTGTGTGTGTTCCATATATTGTATATATGTTTCTGCTATTATAGCTGATGTTGGGGCTCCCATAGCTAGTCCATCTGTTTGTTTGTAGTATTCTTCGTCAATTTGGAAATAATTTTGTTCAAATACTGTTTTTAACATATGTATTATTTCTTTATTTATTTCATGGTTTTTTCCTAATATAATGTTTATTATATTTATGGTGTTAGTTTTCGGTATATTTGTATACATGTTTTCAATGTCAAAGGAACATAGTCACATGTTCTCATTAAGTTTAATAGCTTGTAAATCTATCATTAAGTGGGAGGAGTTTTTGACATTGTATGTGTTTGGTAGTTCTAGACAATCATGCAATACTTTCGCCAATTTCCTTGTCATTTCATAAGCTGGGGCGTTCTTCCAGTTTATTATTGGTCTAATGGGTGTGTTAGGTTTATGTAGTTTTATTGTGGCGTGTAGGTTTGGGGCCGTAGGATTCATATTTGTAAATTTCCATTTGTCTTGTATGATATTATTACACTGTTTCAGTGTTTGTTTTACTGCCCTTTGGTATTGTTTGGTCGGATTTCTGTCAATTTTTATGACTTGGTTATTGTGTATGAAGTATTTATTTTCTGTTTATATTCCTCTTGTGTTAGTATTACTAGTGTTTTTCCTTTATCTGCTTTCGTTATAATAAGTTTATTCTGTTCAATTTTATTTTTTATATTCATTATTTGTTTCCATTTCCTTTTATCTTTCTTATCTTTATTGGTTTTATTCCTTTCGTTATTCTTGTGTATATCCTTTAGTTTCTTCGCAATTAGATGTCTACACACCACAACAAAAACATATAAACCTAACACACCCATTAGACCAATAATAAACTGGAAGAACGCCCCAGCTTACGAAATGACAAGGAAATTGGCGAAAGTATTGCATGATTATGTAGAACTACCAAACACATACAATGTCAAAAACTCCTCCCACTTAATGATAGATTTACAAGCTATTAAACTTAATGAGAACATGTGACTATGTTCCTTTGACATTGAAAACATGTATACAAACATACCAAAAACTAACACCATAAATATAATAAACATTATGAAGAAAGCAGTCTTCTGGGATTTAGCACCGTGTATATGTGGTGTTAACGGTGCCAAATCCCAGAAGACTGCTTTCTTCATAGTCACCGCCGTGAAAGCCTCAAATCTTACAATAAACATTATATTAGGAAAAAACCATGAAATAAATAAAGAAATAATACATATGTTAAAAACAGTATTTGAACAAAATTATTTCCAAATTGACGAAGAATACTACAAACAAACAGATGGACTAGCTATGGGAGCCCCAACATCAGCTATAATAGCAGAAACATATATACAATATATGGAACACACACAAATATATCCCATTCTAGTAACACAACAAATAGTGACCTACTTCAGATATGTCAACGACATATTAATAACATATGATGAAAAAATAACAAACATAGAACATACACTCAAAGAAATTAATGAATTGCAACCAACTGTAAAGTTCACCATTGTAAGAGAACAACAAGAATCAATTAACTTTCTAGATATAACAATATATCGCAATGAGGATAGTTTGCAATTCACAATATATAGGAAACCCACACAAATAGACATCACAATACCTAACAGTTCGTGCCATCCATTCGAGCACAAATTGTCAGGTATTAATTACCTAATAAATAGACTCTACACATACCCAATAACAGAAAAAGGAAAACAAATAGAGAAAAACACTCTTGAAAACATACTACATAACAATGGATACAACACAAACATAATCAAAAGATTAAATCAGACAAAACGAAAACCAAAATCAAACACACATGATGACGAACAACAACATAAAACAAGGTGGGCCACATTTACATATAGTACAAAAGAAGTGAGAAAAATTACAAAACTTTTCAAAGACACACAGATAAAAGTGGCATTCCGCACACGAAACACAATAGAAAATATACTCAGACAAAAACCACAATTAGATGAATACAATAAAAGTGGCAAATACCAAATGAAATGTGTGGATTGCCCATTGAAATACATTGGGCAGACGGGCAGAACATTTAACACTAGATATAAAGAACATATACATGATATTAGAAATAATGATAGCAATTCTGGGTACTCAAATAACATACTAAATACAGGACATGCATACGGAACAATAACAGAGGTATTGGAAGTTGTAATAATGGGAAAGAAGGGCAAACATTTGAATACACTAGAGAAATACCATATATATAAAATAAGTAAGAAAGGCCTACACATGAATGATACACACATAGAGACATACAATCCCATATTTCAAACGATACACGAAATCCATACAGACTAACAGTACCTCCCTCTCCCCACTACCCATTCCCCCCCTACACTCACCAATATAACACAGCACACAATACATCAGACAGCACACGTAGTAAAGAATAGCAGCGGCATGCACACAGGGAGACTACACAAAGTAAGTACAAATAACAATATAAATACATAAGGAAACATTACGTACATAAGATAATAATACGAATATTTGTATATTACAGATAACACCTGTACAGTGTTGGAAACAAGAACTAGCCGCTGCAGCACTACAGACATAGGGCGAGTAACCCTGACAATTTTAAATTTTAAAATTTAGAGAAAATGTTAAAGGATTTTAAAATTAGAACTAAAGATTTTATAAGTGCTAACATGTGTAACAAAATTAATCTATAAACCAGACAGATATCAATGAAGTAGATGTTGATAATAACAACAAAAAGAACAATGTGTTTTTAAATGTTAAATTTTAAACTAAGTGCAGTGTAACAGCAACCTGAGTGTATACACCTGATGATGGCCATTTGAGGCCGAAACATGTAGTGTAAAGGAGAGCAAGATCAAGGACATATAATATATTGTTTGCACTTGGGACACGAGTTCATATCATTTATCGTATAGAGTGCAACAGGATGCTTAAATATAATATTAGAGTGCATATTAAACACAAAATAATTTTCTATAACAAAATCTATGAAACCCTATTGACTTCCATTGTCTAGCAATAGGAACTGCTAATCTTCCAGTATTACGGGGTCATCAACCATACCTTAATTTGGGCACAAAACTTTATAACGTGGGAATAAAAGAATTCATATCTCCCAGTTGTACAGGTTCAGCAATCATATTTAACTTTGAGAATAATGATGCTTGGTCTGCTGGACCATGCATATATCACCATCACAATAATGACACACAGCATAATGAAGATTAATACGAGAATTTTGATCTACTACTTCATCACGTGTAGCCTGGTAGCTAGGTGACATGTTTCATATTCAGTGCAGATTGCACTTATGAATATCTTGAAACACAGATGTATGTATGTTCCTGATGAACATGCTGCCTCCAACTACATCCAACACAGCATATTCCTCCTAAATAATGGCACCCATCTACTGGACTGCATAACCTAAAATCTTATTGTGTGTATTAATATTGCATTGTTTATAGGTAAGACAAGATAAAATTAAAGAAACATTAGTAAGAAATGAAAATAACCTGTCACTCCATAACAACTTACTACTCTTCTATGCATAGAATACTTTCCTTTTATTCACAAAGTAAAGAGAAGTAAAAAATTATACCAAAACTTTGTGACTGAGGGGGGAGGCTGTCCTTTTTATTTTAAAGAGGGCCAGAGTAAATTAATAAAAGCACATAACTTGTAGGTAACCATCACATGAAAGCCTTGTCAGTGATGAATATTGTCTGCTGCTATCATAACCGTTGTTAATGATATATTTCAGGTCTCCACGGTAACAAACCCCACAACAGGAGTTTAATTTCAAAATGAATAACATTTAATTGTAGTAAGCTATAGAGAAAATCATGAGTCATGTTATCTTGTCATGGCTGATCCACCTGGATGAAGACATTGTTGGCAAATGATATACCTCAGAAAAACAAGACAGACGATTTCAAACATTAACAATTAATAGGAGTTTCTTACTTTATATCATTTCATGGCAAGTAAGATATGGCATTTTTAGTTTAAAATATACTCTCTCCATACTGCTGGTGTCCATTCTAATTTGAAAATCAGATCTGGACATACAGATTTATCAATCATTGTGCACACAGTTAGGATCTGGAATTCAGAAGGCATAGATCTGTTTACTTATCGTGCACTGGTTACAACATACACAGGACCAAGAAACTGTAAATGCCAGAGTTAAAAAAAAATCTTTGAGATGTCACACATGATTACATTACGTTGGTTCACAAATCATCCCTCAGTTCGTCATATAAACCCAACACTGATTACAACATCAGTGCTTACTGTTCTTCAGAGTTGTAGCATTTGTCCATCCTTCTCCCACTTTTCAAAGATGAGTCTGAAAACACACGAAAGTGTGGGAAAAAGTTGAAGTAAAAAGCATGTTAAGAAAGACCACACACCTTCAGAAATCAAGTATGGTATAAATGGGTTCTAACCACTCTTTCCTTACACTGATAGCTATCAGTATACTATAGTATATAGTATCTATCTAAAGTACACTGAAACTGGTCACCAGTGTCTGTAATCCCTGCAACCCAAGCACTCTACAACTGCAATATAAATGTCTGGGTCAAAAAAGCTATTAGAAACTTGAAATAAAAGGGATGGCTATTGTTTTGAACAAGACATAATTTCATTCCCATGCTCCCGTTCTAAGGAGCCTTGGCTCCATGCCAAATATACCGAATACAAATAACACAATATAAATATTTATTTGAATGCAAATTGCACAGATTATCATCAATTTTATATTATGCAAGTCATTATGTGTACTGTTAAATGAGCTACCTAGTGTACAAATTGCAACTGCATTCACAGTGGTATGATTTGGTTTTGTTCCCAATTTGAAATGCACATTTTCTACAAAAAAAAAATCTAAGCACAATTTTACTACAAAATAATTATGAAATCTACCAATTAAAAAAAAAAAAACAACTGCATCAGTCATTATGAAAGAGTGCAGGTAATATAGGTATAACTGTTAATTTAGGCAGTCAAGATGGCAATTTTGAGCTTCAGCAAGGTAAATTAATAACTTAAATATAACAGAATATTCAATAATCACCATGGTATTTTTACTGCAATATTGTGAATTTCAGGAAGCATTTCTCCAACCTCAGGAGCAAAGACCGATGATACAACACACGAAGGAACATTCATCTCAAAGAAATATGTTTAATTATCAGTTAATTATAGAATATGTTCAAACTGCTGTGCAGGTAATATAGGTATAACTGTTAATTTGGGCAGTCAAGAAGGCAATTTTGAGCTTCAGCAAGGTAAATTAATAACTTAAATACAACAGAATATTCAATAATCACTATGGTCTTTCTTACTGCAATATTGTGAATTTCAGGAAGAATTTCTCCAAACTCAGGAGCAAAGACCGATGATACAACACACCAAAGAACGTTCATCTCAAAGAAACACGTTTAATTATTATCAGTTAATTATAGAATATGTTCAAACTGCTGTGGTCATTAAGCTAGGATACACCCACATAAAACTGAGCCTATTTGACAAAAGGAACAGAAGAGGCAACTGTATCTGCGTTTAACACAAATAACAGCTTGGTCATAACCTGTGAGATTACATTAGTATGATTTCTTGGGAAATTAAAATATTATTCATAATCTTACTGAGCTACACATAAATAGATTTTTAACCAGAAGGGACAAAAGTGGGTGGTGGCCAAGAATGTGATGGGAAGCTGAAACAGGTCATTCACAGACCTAGATTTCTTTCAACATTCAAGATATAACAAGTCATACATATTAACACTCCTGCATGGTAAAATGAATCTCTGATGGCTGAAGTACAATGCTGCAATCCCCATATTTTAAGACATTTCCGCATTTATCATCATATCTTACACAAAATCTGATATTGTTTCAGCTGTAAATGAGTAAATAACAAGGTAAGGTTTCTGTTAACGCAACAAATGTGGTATACAGTCAATCAATACTCCATACTGAACCAAGTTACAACATACAATGCCCATACAGGAAGGATGCACACACACATCAATGATAGCAATATTTTTACATCTTTAACCAATGATGCACACTGCATGAATATCAACACACCATAACTGCCCATGTAATAATATCCACAATACATTTATTACCGCATAACCATGGGCATAACAACCTCCACCCCGAGACATGCTCAACAACGTGGCTTTCTACAATCATGCACACAACATGAGCGAATTTTAATATCATATCCCATAAAGTTATAATAACTTTAATATTTTAGGGTTTAATTGTATAACCTTCAATTTCATTCCCAAGGCCTTATTTCTAACATAGCATCCTACCAACATGACATTCTCCTTTAATAAACATCACATGCAAGAATTTTTAATATGTTAATTTGTTTAATATATCTTTAATTCAATTGTTATATAATTCTCTGTACATATATGAGGGTAAGTCAATAAGTAAGTTACAAATGGATATAGAACTTAAACAAATAAGAGTACTGATTTGAAAAATGCTGTTATTTCTCAACTTGATCTCCCTGTACATTGAGGCACTTGTCCCATCATTTCACAAGCCTCTGAAAACCAGCAGCATAAAATTCTTTGGGCTGCTGTCAGAACCAGGCGGTGACTTCCCTTTCTACAGCTTCTTCATCGGGAAAATGTTCAGCCAAAAGATGATGTTTAAGAGGGCCGAACAAATGGAAGTTGCTTGGAGCAAGGTTGGGGCTATAAGGAGGATGCTCAAGGACTTCCAACTTGAAATTTCACAACATCTCATTTGTCTTGTTGGCAGTAGGGGGAAGCGTATTGTCATGCAAGAGCAACGCACCTTTGGTGAGGAGTCCTGGTCGCTTCTATTGAATGGCCTTACAAGTTTCCTGAGGATGTTACAGTAGGAGTCGGTATTTACAGTTTGTCCTTGAAGCTGGAATGCAGTGAGCAGTATGCCTTCCTGAACCCAGTCACCGCCTGGTTCCGACATCAGCCCAAAGAATTTTATGCTGCTGGTTTTCATGGGCTTGTGAAATGATGTGACAAGTGCCTCAATGTACAGGGAGATTATGTTCAGACATAAAAGCATTTTTCAAATCAGTACTCTTATTTGTTTAAGTTCTATATCCATTTGTAACTTACTTACTGACTTACCTACCTACAATCTTAATACTGCGAAGGCTAATATTGTAATTTCCTATATTCTAATCTGGGCTGAATTTTGTAGTATGAACATGTTGCGCTAGATATGGATCCATATTTGGGAGTTAAAATAACTTTAGTTGTTCGATCATAATTACTGCCTGATGATGGTCCCGACTGAAACATGTAGCGATGGGAAAGTAAAAGTTCAATCTGAGTATTGATTCATTGTATAACCACGTCTGTTGTGTTGACAGAAACCTCACCTTGCCATTTCCTCATGACACACAACAGGATGCACACTGTGAAAATACTGTAAATGATTTTTATGTAACTTTTGTTAATCCACTGTTTTCCAAGATTATTTCTGTCTCAGTCATAATATTACATTAAAAATATATACAAAAGAGTCCATAAGCAAGAGTTTTATAATGAATTGCTGTTTCAAAGTGTGTTTTACAAGTTTAAACACCAGAAGTGAAGAGGAAATTGAAGATATAACAGACTAATCTGTTTCTTTGCAAGACAGAACTATGACAGGTGTATTCTACTTATACCTGAGCAGAAAATGAATTCTTGTGTCTTGAAATACATATTATTACAATAAAAGCATGGAATAATAATGTGTATTCTATTGAGACTGAATTATTGGTTCTGTGTTTCACATTCTGAACATGAGCATAAAAGAATATAATTTTATATCCCAGACTCTTTCTATTTCGTGAGAAGGAACAGTTAGATGAAATGAGCAGTGGGATTTTACAAGCAGTGCTAAAGCACAATTCAAAAACAGACATTCAATACTAAATCCCATACCCAGTGCTGGCAAGTATTTCACAGTTGTGACTGGTTAAATTGTGGAAACAGAAAATATGCAAGAGAAGAAACTACTATCACAGACTACAGATTTGAAGCAAATGAAAAAAGTATACAATGTGTAATAAACCAGCAAATCAAGGCTACAAGGGAAACTCCTGAAACATAAAAAATATAATTATATAGACTACAGAAGCATTAAACTTTTACACGCCAACCCTGTCTATGTATAAAGTAATTACTAAACAGTCTCACATTCTTACCATTCTTCTTGTTGAGGCCTTTCATAGTACCATTATACAGTCTATTGCACACTACTGCTGTTTTGAATTACATTCTTCTGGGATGTGATGCTCTGTATATGGCAGATAGGTACCTCTGTTTCAGAGGAACCTCCAGCAGTTAATATCTTAGAAGCAACACAGATTAAGAAGAATTCTACATTCTGCGATATAAAACAATGTAATCTGTTGAAAGTCAACTGATATTTCAGAGGAAGATGCTTGATTCTTGCTTGGCTTATTCTTTAACCCCAAAGATGGAGGCAACACATTCCTCTCAAATGTCAGTTCACTTTCAATGGACCACATGGCATTATATCCCAGAAGACAGAACTCTTCATAACCACAGCTATAAGAATCTCAAATCCTACAACACAGTTTAAAAATCTGTCATCTGAAAGTTCTATAATTACAGTGATTTTCATGTTGAAGAGTATCTTATGAAGACATACCCCTTTATGGGCATCAGAATCAACTAGAAATATGTGGGTTATGGAAGGAGTTCCTTGTCTCAATGTTCTCCTAAAATTCATTGGGCTGGTCTCTATCTCCCATTAGGAAATATAAATTAACCATAATATATTCTCCTACAGTCTTATTACAATTGGGGAGCAAAGATTTATATGTGGTTTCACATGCACACAAACATACACACACACACACATCTATAATGCATTAAAATGTTATAATATATTCACAAAACTACCGTTTTAATGTGGGACATACTGCAAAATAAAAAACACTGATATATAGAATAACCATTCCAGTACCAACAAAACTTTTTGTTTATTCAATATTAAATCTAAAATCAGCAGGCATTGAAAACTTCTAGAAATATAGTTACATTATTGGACCATGAAGTGTTTCGTGAAATTATAAAAATTACACAAGGATATTTAATAACAGCTAATAAGGTGTTTATATTCCATATGTCTTCATAAAGAATCACAATAATATAGATTACAGCCAAAGCTATGAACACAGCAAGAAGGAGCTTTTTAAAGCCAACTGCACCATTAGCATATATTCAATTCCTTTTGTATTTAAGTACTCCAACACTACCATTTTTACTAGCGAGAAAAAGTACGTTTTGTGAATACAGTCTGTTATTTAAAGAAA